GTTCGATTCCCAGCATCCCATAGGGTCCCCTGAGCACCGCCAGGAGTAATTTCTGAGTGCAGAGTCAGGAATAACCCCTGTGCATCGCCGGGTGTGACCCAAAAAGCAACATAAATAAATAAACAAATAAAGAAAGTAACGTCATGTTGAAATGGGCAGGATTCAGACTGGCGTCTCAGTCTTAAATACGTGTGTAATTTTTCATGTTGGGGATTTGTCATCCTTGTGGACTCAGGGACGTGAGAGTGTGTTGGTAATTCCCAATCTGATTGTGGCATTGGGATGACCTGGGACCCTCCCCCAGACAGGTGAGGTGGGACGCTCTTGGTGGCCCAGGCGTCTGGTCTGGTTTCCTCCTCCCTGTATGTGGTGGGAGCAGAATTCGAGAAGCACTGCACCTCGTTACTTTTTAAAGTTTGTATAAAGTTTTCCAAATTTTATTGTATAAAAAGCGCTGTGAGTTACAAAGCTGGGTTTTTGACATAGAATATTCCATCCCTGATCCCACCTCCTCTGTCAGCTGTCCCTCCGCCAGTGTCCCCAGCTTCTTTGGTCTTGCCTTCAGATGACACTCAGTGACACCCAGGCGTTACTCACAGCTCTGTGCCTGGGGGTCACTCCCAGCAGCGCTGTGGGGGATAGAAGACAGACTTTGAGCATGCAAAGCATGTGCTCAGTGCCCTGAGCGCTCTCTCTGGCAGTAAATAATCACTGGCACACAGCCGTACCCATTCTAGGGAACTTGTCGTTTCCCAAGCCTAAGATGCCCACTGTTTGTCCATTTAGAAAAAAAAATTGTTGGCAGATTTCCACTCTAGATTCGTAAGGAACATTTTTCAAATATTTTGAAAAAAGAGGATGGAGGTTGTGCAAAAGTCCAGTATTTTTCAGAATCCTTAGGGCTGTCCTCTCTTGGTTTTCTTGGTTTTCTCTTGACCTGGAAAAATAAATGTCTTTGAAGAGCTTCAATGTGTATTTCTCAGTTTCTGAACGTTTGAGTTACTGCCACTTCACTCTGCCAGGAAGCATGAAGGCTTATTTTCGCCAGCTAAAAAAAAAAAAAAAGGCGGGGGGTGACATTTCTTATTTATGAGAAAGGGAAAAAGCAGACGAGCATTCACCGTGAGTCTCATAGCTCCAGACACTACACGGACAAGCCCCTTCCCTGAAGCTGCTTTATTCAGGCTGGGGGTTTGCCGTATCTTCTGTGCTTCTGCTTCTCCTCTGTGTGTGTTACCCTCAGGTTCAAATGTGATTTGCTAGGTGACCAGCGTGGTGAGGGCGGGGCTCTGGGGGTGCTCATTGTTTTCTCTGTGAAGCTTGTTTGCCCTTTTATTTAGTAAACATTTATGTGACTTAACAACCAAGTTCCGGTTCTACTGTTGCTCTAGGACTATTCACTTTTTTTTTTTTTTGCTTTTTGGGTCACACCCGGCAATGCACAGAGGTTACTCCTGGCTCTGCACTCAGGAATCACCCCCGGCGGTGCTCAGGGGACCATATGGGATGCTGGGAATCGAACCCGTGTTGGCCACGTGCAAGGCAAACACCCTACCGTTGTGCTGTCGCTCCAGCCCCCAAGGACCATTCACTTAAGAGACAAGGTGAAGGGACAAGAAAACTGCTGGCAATAGGTTGGCAGTTTTGGAAAACGGCAGACTGGTGGCCTCAAAGTGACCTTGTCTGCATGCATGGTCAGAAGAAGCAGTTTTATACGAAAAGAGAATCGGGAAGCACAATTTGAGAAGGAGTGGGTGGCAGGCTGGGGGACGCCAGGGCCATCGCTGAATTCCCTTGTCGGATGGTCTCCTGATGCACGCAGCCCATGTGTCTGCCACGAGTCTGAGGAAGGTTTCTGCCCACGCAGCCGTGAGGAGAGAAGGGGGATATTCTCAGCATTTCCTATCAACCCTGCCCTCATAAGTTCCCTGGTTTCTAGTACTGAATTCAGCTCTCAGTTTCTCTGGACTTTTTTCAGTGATAGAATGTGAAAATTGGATCACTGTCACTGTGATGATTTCACAGTGTTCATCGATTTGCTCGAGCGGGCCCAGTAACGTCTCCATTGGAGACTTTGTTGTTACTGTGTTTGGCATCTCGAATACGTCACGGGGAGCTTGCCAGGCTTTTTTGCCGTGCAGGCGAAATCCTCTCGGTAGCTTGCCGGGCTCTCCGAGAGGGGCGGAGGAATCGAACCTGGGTCGGCCAGGTCCGGCGCGTGCAAGGCAGACGCCCTACCCGCTGTGCTATTGCTCCAACCCGAAAATTGGGCAGTGCAATAAATCAGGCCTCCTGCATGCAAAGCAAACATTTCATTTCAGACGCTTGTAGAAACAAATGAGAAAGGACCATGGGAACTTGACAAACGACGTGGGAAGGAAGGAATAAAAAGAAATCAGGTTGCCATTGCCTCGCCAAGAAGCAGACCAGGTATCAGAGCATGATTTGTAGTGGTGAGCAGTCGGAAGGTCAGAAATAAGTCCCTTAAGCTTATCTCGATCGGAAATTAGGGACTCGGGCCTTTGTACCAAGAGTGCTGGACTAGTCCTAAGTGCACTGGTCTCTCTGCATTACTTGGGAGCTTGTTCAAAAATCCAGATATTCACAGATTGTCTTGAAGAAGCCTTTTATTTTTCCCCGACAAGGTTTTGCCATTTTGTTTTCGTCGTTAAACAGCCTTCTAAAGACCCAGATGACAAATCGTGATTTTCAACGTGGTTTTTCTAAACCTTGAATTGAACGTTTATCCTACACAGCCCTTGATTATGTTTTTAAGTTAAGCCGTCTAAATTTAAGAGGACCATGTGCAATAATTGCAGGCAAACGCGTTTTGCTATAAAGATCAGACCTTTTTAACGCAATGTCTGCAGAAAACACAGCCATGCAAGGAAGGCACTTGTGGAAGTGGCCCGGGAGGGTGAGGAAAACGGAAGAGAGAGAGAGAGAGCTCCTTGTAATTCTTCAGAAAACATCTTTTTCTTTTAACTTTGGGGGCTTTGTTTGGTTTTTGGTTTGGGAGCCGCACTTGAAAGTGCTCAGAAGCCACGTCTGACTCAGGGCTCTGGGTCATTTGTATGGGCACGAGGGAGGCCACATGCCATGCCAGGGGTCAAACCAGGCCTCCTGCATGACAAGCAAGCATTCCTGGGTGTTGAGCTCGCTGACTCGCGCTCTCTGGACCGACATCTCCTTGGCTGTGAGTGAGACATCAGACTCTGAGGCTTGCAGAAAAATGCACCCCCCCCCCCCCCCCCCCCGCCCAGCCAAGGCCACGTGCCAGCTGCCTGCAGCTCTGCCCCCCTGACTGCATGCTCGCTTTCCCTGCTCTGCCTCAGTTCCACGTCAGGTCCTGCTGCATGACAATCTCAGGAGAGTCTGGGAAACGGACCCTGGCTGCTAGTACTGTTACAGGGAAACGCGAAGAGGCCTGGCGTGGACACTGAGGGACAGTATCTGGCACAGGGGTCAGCCTAGTGATAACAGCTTTTCTTACACGCCACGAGCATATCGTGGCTGCAAATGCCTTTTTCCACGAACGCTGTGAGCACGTAGAGGCCAGTGCGACACACAGGTGGCAGGAGAAGAAGTCACGTGACTCGTTCCTGTCAAAACTGGTGGTCAGCGTTCCACTGGTTTCACGACCAGCCACGCTTTGCCTTCTGCTCCTGGCTGACCAAGCTCACGTGGGGTTTAGGAGTGCCTGAGAAAGAACCCCGACACCGGCTCCCTAAACCCGGGCCTTAGGTTCTAGAAAGAAGGACAAGAAAGAAACTGAGGAGGAGAGAGGTAAGACAGGGCTCATGGCAGATAGGAGGCCAAGGCCCCTTGCACACGGGCGATGTAGAGGTGAGGTTTGAGTTTGTGTCTAACCCAGCAGAGCCAACCACGCTGAAAGTAGGAGACACAAACGACAACAGCTGAACTTAAAAATGTGCTCCAATGAGACAGGCTGGCGGTACATCCTTTGATGCTTTGTCTGTTGGGTCACGGTCCTCCCGTTATTCATCGATTTGCTCGAGCGGGCCCAGTAACATCTCCATCGTGAGACTTGTTGTGACTGTGTTTGGCATCTCGAATACGTCACGGGTAGCTTGCCAGGCTTTGCCGTGCGGGCGAGAGACTCTCGGTAGCTTGCCGGGCTCTCCGAGAGGGGCGGAGGAATCGAACCCGGCTCGGCCGGGCCGGCTGCACGCAAGGTGAACGCCCTACCGCTGTGCTATCGCTCAGAGTCTTGACTTGTCTGTTGGGATCCGTTTAAAAATATATGTGAATGCAGGTGCGTCCACACACATACACACACACATACACACACATATGCGTGCTCACACAAATGCAAGCCACCATGACTTCCAGAGTTGTTCAGAATAGAGTTTCAGTCATACAAGGTGCCGACATCTGTCCCACCACTACGGTGGCCTTTTGTTCTCTGATCTCCCCAGTTCCCTCCGACCCAACGCCCCCGCCTTCTTTACAGGCACAGGTATATAAAAAGGAACCCCAACAGACGAGGCATCAAAGGATGCACAGCTCCGATCGTTGTAAGGTCTGTGCCTTGGAGTGGCAGGTACTTAAAATTGCAATATACTGGGGGCTGGAGCGATAGCACAGCGGGTAGGGCGTTTGCCTTGCACGCAGCCAACGTGACCGACACAGGTTCGATTCCCAGCACCCCACATGGTCCCCTGAACACCGCCAGGAGTAATTCCTGAGTGCGTGAGCCAGGAGTAACCCCTGAGCATCGCTGGGTGTGACCCAAAAAGCAAAAAAAAAAAAATTTGCAATATGCTGGTTCTTTGGATTCAAGTAAACTTAAGTCAAGGTATGGGTTGTGGCTTAGCAGCAGAATACTTGCCTGGCGTATGTGGAAGGCCCAGATGCTGAGCCCCGCACACTACGGAAAAAGAAAAGAAAAATGAAATAAAAATTACATTAGGGCATTCTTGTGATGATTGCAAACTGCGACACATGTCTTAGATTCCCTTTCCTTTGTCCTTCAGCAGATGAAAAACTCGGAGAACCGTCACGCCATGAGTTCGCAGTACCGGATGCATTCGTACTATCCACCGCCCTCCTACCTGGGCCAGAGTATGTCCCAGATCTTCACTTTCGAGGACGGACCTTCCTACGCGGAAGCCAAGGCGAGCGGTAGGTGCTGTTACCAGACGAGCTGGGTGGAGAGGGTGGACATCCCACTTGCCCTCCTTGATGCTGACCCCGCAGAGACTGCCAGACAGTTCGTACCAGGCGACTCCTGCTAATACTCACTAGTGCTTGGTAGACTCTCGCTACAGCCTTTGGCTTTTCTGACTATCTGGAGTGACAGACTGAGATAAGAGACCCCCATCATCGGAAGTGTTGAATGTACTTTCTGGGGGGCCAGTGTGTAGTGCAGAGCACTTTCAGTGGGAGACAGTCCTGGTGTGTGTGTGTGTGTGTGTGTGTGTGTGTGTGTGTGTGTGGTGAATTGCTATCTATCGAATACCTGTTTTTATAAAACTTTTCCTCTTTCAAACTGAAGGTGTATTCATCTTTTCGGGGAGGAAATAAAAATAACATAGTAAAATATTTTTTAATACAATTGATCTCAGAGTATGCAGTAGCAATGCAGATAACTCTGATAGATTGGCTTTAAAATAAAAAAAAATGGCTGCTTAATGAACCAGAGCACGTTGAAATACACAATACCTCAACTTCAATTTTAACCTTCTCCCAACATTTACACTCCCTCGATAGGCAGGTCATTCCTGGCTGCCGTGTTTCCAGTCCCCAGTGTGAGATCTTTTATAGATGAGTATAATTTGAACCTCGGAAAATAAAAAAAAAACATACCTAGCTGAGGACGTGCGTGGAAATCAGGGCCATTGTGAGTGTCTTGGTAGCTCAACTGACCACTGGAAGTTACATTCTCTGAAGTTTAAAGTTCATTTTTAAGATGATGTCCCTTTGGACAGGAATGGGTTTCTTGAATGCGAAGCAGAGCCGGGCATTGGTTCCACATTCAGAACCAGCAGGTCTCAAAGAGCTGGGCATGTTGTGCTGTATTGACCGTCACAACGGGAAGTGACCGGAGATGGCTCAGTAGCAGAGGGTGTGTCTTGCAGGCATGAGGCCCCGAGCTCCACCCCCGGTACTGCCCCACATGCCCAGTGTGATCCCAGAGCAAAGTTTGCGATCTCCTGCGCCACAGCCATGTGAGTACCGGCACCGGGACGAAAAGGGTTCGAGCCCAGCACAGCGGCAGCCGCGAGGGAAGGGGCAGATAGCACCAGACACGCTGACTGAAGCGGGTAGGTCCATGTGGACGGTAGCGAGACCATTCGAGACACAGTGGCTCAGTGCACTCTCGCGGTTCACGCACATCGTTCTTTGGGTCAGGAGTGGACAGCAAGAGGCACCGTGGCCATGGTGCTGCTGTCGACACATTGTGTGTGGCAACGGGCCCTGCAGGCTACACCCTGCAGTCGAGGTGTGTGATGCGCTGTTCCACTCAGGTTTGTAAAATCACACCCTAGTATTCGTACCATGACACAGTCACCTACAGTGCCTTTCTCAGACCATTGCACAGTGACATGTTTTTGTTTTTATGTGTTTGGGGGCCACATCCAGTGATGCTCAGGGGTTACTTAATTCTGGCTCTGCACTCAGGATTTAATGCTGGTGGTGCCCAAGGGACTCTCTGGGATGCTGGTGATCAAACCTGGATCAGCCGCGTGCAGTGCCCTACCCACTAAACCGTTTTTCTGGTCCCCTGTGACTGTGATGTTTGAACCATAAATCTGTTTGCATGTCGTCCTTCATGCATATCTCTACCTTGAATGCTGTTAAAGTGACTGTATTGACTGTGAGCTCCATGAGGATAGAGAACACTTTATGCACATCTTTTCGCCTGCTGTATACTTTAATTTACCTTTTGGTAGCTAGGTGAGTGTTTCGAGTCAAGTATTTTAAGTGAACTTAGCCCCGTCATGAAATGAACCGGAAATATCAGAATCCTAACTCATTCTCTGCCGAGTCAGCATAGTTCAGGGATGAAATATCAAAACATTTGCATGCCAAGGTAGGACGGAAACAAAAGAAACTTGTCTGGCTTCTGGATCAGGAGTTTGAGATCTGGATCAGGACTAGTTTGAGAAACATTGGCATTCTTGAAACACAAGTGTAAGCTTAAATCAGGCCCCAGGCCCCAAAGACCAAAAGATAAGAGGAAATCTTTTGAGTAGAGAGAAACGTATTTGGAAAGGAACCCAGACTTTTTTTTTTTTGCTTTTTTGCTTTTTGGGTCACACCTGGCTGTGCACAGGGGTTCCTCCTGGCTCTGCACTCAAGATTCACTCCTGGTGGTGCTCAGGGGACCATATGGGATGCTGGGAATCGAACCCGGGTCGGCCGCTTGCAAGGCAAATGCCTTCCCCGCTGTGCTATCGCTCCAGCCCAAGCATACTGGTATCTTGGCCTTTTGGAATTGATAAGTTATAAATTTTACAGGGTAAATGGAAAGGGAAAGAGGAAAGAGGACACTTAGTTTGGAGCCAACAAGAGTACTTCCTGGGGTCATCACTTAGGGCACTGAGTTTGTGTTTATCAGTTTTGGCAACGTGGGGAGCACTTTGAGAGCGGTTTGCACTGATCTGCTAAGTAGAGGCAAGTCCAGTACGGGGGGGGCGGAGGGCCAGTGTGGTCTGCTCTCCTTTTAGGAGGCATTTGGCTTTTGGGGGGAATCACGCCCTGTGGTGCTCAGGGCTTCTCACTTGTTGCTCTGGAGTTGCCGTCATTAGTGCCAGGGGATCACGCAGTGTCGCAGGTCACATCTGGGTGTCTCCTATACCCTGCAAGACCGCTGAACTCCCTTTTCGACCCCCTAACAGAAACCTCATTCCATAAGTGATTGCTTCCTGTGCTCCATCCTCCATTCCCTGGCCCTTAGTATCCACCAGCTTGGTAACTACGGCTCCTTTTTGACTGGATGGATTTGCTTTTTTTCTGAAAGTTCTGCAAGATTGAAGTCATGAATGCATGGCCCTTTGTGCCCGAAGTCACGTAGCAGCTTATTTTCAAGGTCCCTGTGCAACAGAGCAGATGATAGCACGATCAATTAGTCGCTGGGCCTTGGGGTGTCGGGATTCTTCCTTATTAGTGTGGACAACACTGTTGTCAGTGTTTGTGATTCCGTCTCATCTGAGTACCTGCTAAGTTTCTTCTGGGCATGTTCCAGAGAATGGAGTTCCTGCACTGGATTGTAATTCCGTATCGAACTTTTTTTCCATGATCAGGCGAGCTTCTCCACAAGTATATTAGGGCTAGTTTCTCCAGCCAAAACTTGTTTGCCTTTTTTTTTTCTTTCGTGACACATGGGTGCCACACCCGCAGTGTTCAGGCTGTTCTGTGGTTCGTCGGGGGAACCTCCAGCCTCTCACAGGCCAAGTGCTCAGATGTACAGTGGTGGCACGCCCACGCCCCCCCCCAGCCCTATTTTCTTTATCTTTTAAAATAAGGTTATGATTCAGGTGATTTCTACTTACGAGAACATCAGACGACGATGTGTTAGAAACAGAAAAATTCTTTTTTTTTTTAATTTTTTTGCTTTTTGGGTCACACCTGGCGATGCACAGGGGTTACTCTTGGCTCTGCACTCAGGAATTACTCCTGGCGGTGCTCGGGGGACCATATGGGATGCTGGGAATTGAACCCAGGTCAGCCGCGTGCAAGGCAAATGCCCTACCTGCTGTGCTATCGCTCCAGCCCCCAGAAAAATTCTTTTTACCCCAAATAAACAGACTTCTCTTTGCAAATACCATACTTTCACAGTCACAGTCATGGTCATGGTCCTCCCGTTGTTCATCGATTTGCTTGAGCGGGCCCAGTAACGTCTCCATTGTGAGACTTGTTGTTACTGTGTTTGGCATATCGAATACGTCACGGGGAGCTTGTCAGGCTCTGCCGTGCGGGCGAGATCCTCTCGGTAGCTTGCCGGGCTCTCTGAGAGGGGCAGAGGAATCGAACCCAGCTCAGCCGGGCTGGCTGTGTGCAAGGCAAATGCCCTACCCCTGTGCTATTGCTCCAGCCCACCATACTTTAGTGAGTATAAATATGTGTCTATATTTCTACATATATGAGAATAAAAGTAGTCAAATGTGGTAAAACAAAAACAAAAAAAAAACAACAGAAAAAACAAATATAGTAATAAGGATGCGTGCTTTGGATTTCATAAAAAGCTGTTTCGGGGTCATTTGAACATTGAATACTCATTACATTTTTGTGTCTAAATTAATTATAACCTCTATTGACTATGTTGATAATTGTTTAGAAAAAATATCTCTCAGATTAGGGGCTGTAGTGATAGCACAGCGGGCAGGGCAGGTAGGGCGTTTGCCTTGCGCATGGCCCGACCCGGGTTCGATTCCCAGCATCCCATATGGTCCCCTGAGCACCGCCAGGAGTTATTCCTGAGTGCATGAACCAGGAGTAACCCCTGTGCATCACTGGGTACGACCCAAAAAGCAATATATATATATATATATATATATCTCAGATTAGATGAAAAATCTTGCTTGTGTATTAAAAAGGTGCAAGTTACTTGTTCTGGCATACGGCATTAATATTCCCTGGTGTAAGCTTCATGAAATATTAAAACCAAATTAAACTCAGAAAACAAACTTAAACAGACTTCTCCCCACAAAGAGTTTCAGAAACACTGTCTAGGACCCAGGTAGGCATGGGAGGGTGTGGCCAGCTCTTCATAACAGATGCAGGTTGTTCAGATCGTGGCAGTTGGAGCACTGAAATCTAATGCTTCCCGAGCGCGTGGAAAGGGGAGAGTCAGTCGTGGGACCTTTGGGCAAGGAACATTCCTGTCTCTGGAGCGGGGCTTTTTCTGTTTCTGCAGAGGAGTGCCTGGAGACAGCTCAGAGGGCTGGAGTGCGTGCTTTGCATGTGGGAGGCCCGGGTTTAATGCTCAGAACCACATGATCCCTGAGGGACCTGGAGCTCTAAGAGTCGCCTCTGAGCATCCCTGAGTCCGGCTCCAATAAATCAAAAGGGTTCTTTTTTTTTTATTTTTAAATACCTAAATTCTTGGGTATAAGTTTTGTTTGGCTTGGTTTGGGGCCACGCCGGCAGTACTCGGGGCTTACTCCTGGCTCTGTGCT